TCCTTGTGGAGACACAGTGAGAAGATGCTGTTTATGAACCAGGAAGTGGGTCCTAATCAGACCCTGAATATGTTGGTGCCAAGATCTTGGAGTTCCCAGCCCCCAAACCAGATATAAATGTTTTTTTTTCAGCCATTTAGTTTATAATACTTCTGTTATAGCAGCCTGAACTAACTAACACACAGGTGTATGCTTTCATTTGCATAAAACACTTCTAAAGGAAAATATAAGGGATTGGTAACTGTACTTTCCATCAGGGAGACTAAGAACTGGGGTTGTGGGTGTTAGGATATTTTAGTTTTCATTGTAAAGCCGTTTCTAATGTGTAGCTTTTTAACTACAAAACTAAATTACTATAGTAGTAGTAGCAGCAGCAGCAGCAGTAGTAAAAATAATAATAATAGCTAATTAACAAAAAGGAATGGATTGAGAAGTTTTCCCCATACCTTAGCTACATAATTGACTTGCAAAAGAGAGCCAATATGTAAATGCTGAAGAACAGGGAGTCATCACCCACCAATGTCTTATCTTCTTAAAGGCATTAATGAAGTCTGGAGACATAGTGCTTCAGTGAAAGCAGCTGAGGATTAAGAAGCCGGTTCCTTAAACAGCTCTTCTCTCTGTCAATAGAGCCCAAAGCTTGGGGAACAAGCTCTGAGACCTACATTATTTCTCCTATCAGATCTCAGAGCAGGTGGGAGACTTTTAAACAGACGGTAGAGGTGTTAAAAATAGAAGGTAAGTTGCTATTGGAGATATGTGGAGAATTCACCACTTGCAAATCTCGAATTATAATATGTCAAAAGTAAAATACCTTGTCAGGAGCAGTATCTGATATAATACAGTATTTGCTCTGTCAGTACAGTGATCCATGATGTGTTTGGAAGCCTATATTAAATAGACATTCAGCGGCAAAATGTCCTGCAGGGACTCATCTCAGCCCTTGGAGAACTGAAAGGATGACCTGCCAAGTCTTTGCTGTCTGTGCTTTCCTCAGCTCTGGTTGGGAGTTCTGGGTGCATCCTGCTTCCCTTTTACAGATTCTGTACTTTATGTTAAATCATGTGCATATATTAGAAGTTCTTGGAGCCTAGCAGATGGATGGATCTTTTCTCTTACCCTAAACTACTCAGTTTCTCAAAGAAGTGATGGCCTACACAGTGCCCTCAGATTGGCATTAAGCACTATGCCTCTATGTTGAAGAATAGTTAGAGTTATTCCAGATACAACTAAACTACAGGGAAGAACTTAGGTGTGCTAATACAGGGGCATATCTTTCAAGGGTGGGAGAACCTTGGGTCTGACCCACTCGGAGGATAAATTCCTCCCTTGGGAAATGCAGAGCCTGGAGGGAGAGAAGGTGCCCTTGGAAACTGTGTGAGGATGCAGAGACAATTCAAAGTAAGCTTCTCATTGGCCATGTTCTGCACAGCCAGGTCAGGAAAACACAACTCAGAAGTAGGTCACGTATAGCAGAAGCATCTTCCTTTTTGGTCAAAGGGGAGAAAAATATATGCACATAATTCTTTGTAGCAGAAGACAAGATGGCCACTTTTTCCATCTTTCAGGCTCAGCTACAAAACCACCTCCTTCAGCTTATAATGGCTCCTTTTCCTATAAAACTTCCTGTAGGAGTATGAACCACCAAACATTGCTAAAGAAGATAAAGTAACCTGCTAATCAGCCCCACCACAAATTCACACACTCCAACTCAGAGAGGTGCTCGTAGCCATTCAAATACCGTTGGCATTGCCTGAGCCAGATTCCTGGGTTGTTTGCCCAGTTTCAGAAATCATTCTATTGTTCCTATGCTCTAGAACTTGTCACATTACAATAATTAATGGAACACATGTCCTATTATCTCTAGTGGCCCAGGAGCATTCGGAGGGAAGAGAGCTGTCTGCTTACCAGCCCATCTCACCGCAGTGCCGGGTACTGTGGACAGCAACGTGCTACTTAAATTTAATTGCATTGATCTCTAAAGAGTTCTGTTTGTGAGAGAAGGATGTTGAGTATGTCAACTCCCCAAATGGATTAAAATTTCCTTTACGGTAGGCTTCATTAACCCTTTCTTTCAAACTCTCATTTTGTAACTCCTCTGGCTTAAACTCTTTTCAATATCTTTCCACGACTCCTGACATGGAATGCCATTCCTTACTGAATGCAGCAGGCCTGTGGGATGTGAACCCTGCTGATTGCTTCCATTTCATCCTTTGCCACTGTACCCCCAAACTCTCTCCATATGCCCTAGATATACTGGCCTCTTTTTAGTTCTTTGAATGAGTCAAGGTCATGACTATTGACCTTGTTATTCTTTCTGCCTGAAAATCTTTGTCTCCTCACCTTAAATATCATCTCCTTGAAGGAAGGTACCTAGACTACTCATTTGCAGGCAGCACCTCTGCTCTTTTTTTATTCTCCCAAAGTATCTGTCTTTTTCTTAAGAGCATGGATTGTAATTTGTGTTTATGTAGCTGTTTGATCACCACACCTTCACTCTGCCTTTCACACCAAATTACAGAAGGGAAAGGACAATTTCTGTTTGATTCAACCACATTACCTAGTATGAGTCCTGGCTCTGGTAGAGGTCTAATAAATATTTGTGAATGAATGAGTGAATGTGTGACTGAAAGAAATGAATAAATCTTCCAAAGCATGAGTATAGTTGATACATGTTGAAGCTTAACAAAGAATGTCCTTTTTCAGTCCTAAAATAGCCTCTTGGAACCCTACCACCTTGATTATCACAAAATAACCAACAAGCAAATAAACAACAACTCCATCACTACCATCTGGTAGTCAACACAATACAAACACCTGCAAAATCAGCAAGCACATTTAAATAAACTCACCCCTAGGTTACAGCAGCAGGTAGACACAAAAAGACAATAGCAGCACTATTTACAAGAGCCAAAGGTGGAAACAACCCAAGTGCACTGAATGAATGGATAAATGAATGGTTTATCCATACAATGGAATAGTATTCAGTCATAAAAAGGAATGCAGTGCTGATATATTTTGCAATATGAATGAACCTTCAAAATAGTCTATTATTGGAAAGATGATGAACACAAAAAGTCATATATATATGCATATATATATAGATATATAAAATTTCCTTTTTATGAAAAATCCTGAATAACAAATCCATATAGACCAATAGCAGATTAGTGGTTGCCAGGGACCAGGGGAAGGTACAATGGAGAGTGTCTGCTTAAGGGGCATGGAGTTTCCTTTGGGTGCTGAAAATATTCTTGAATTGGATTATGATGATCATTGCACTACACTGTGAATGTACTAATGCCACTGAATTGTATACATTAAAGTGGTAACTTTTATGTTTTGTACAACAATAAAACAGGGTGAGCAACAGAAAAATTTCTAATATATTATTTTTTAAATTCTCTAAATGTAACCTCCAGGTTAAGTACCAGGTAGCAAAGTTAGTCATCTTCTGCTTTTAGTTGCAAGAAAAATATTATGCTTTAAAACAATAAACTTAGCTCTGCCTGGGTAGCTCAGTTTGTTAGAGGACCACCTGATATGTCAGGGTTGCCAGTTCAGTCCCTGGTCAGGTTATGTATAAGAATCAACCAATGAATGCATAAATATGTGGAACAAAAAAACTGGTGTTTTTCTCTCTCCTTCCCTCTCTCTCTCATTCTTTTTTTCTCCCTTCCTCCTTTCCTCTCTCTCTAAAATCAATCAATCAATAATTTAAAAAATAAACTTCTTTAAAATATTGGATTTTCAGAGGCCTGGAGGCAGGAGAAAAAGGCACAATTGCCTTGCATTTAGAAAACATTCTAGACTAGGGGCTTGGTGAACCCAAACTTCTAAAGAATTCTGCATAACAAGGTTTCACAAATGTGCATATACATCTTCTGGTATACATGGTTATCTTAGGTGGTGCACAAAATTTCTTTCTTTTCTTTTTGTTTTTTACTTTGAAGAAGTCCAATTTATTGGTTGTTTTTCTTTTAGGGAACATACTTTTGATGTCCTATTTAAGAAATGTTTGTATAATTCAAGGTCATGAGAGTTTTCTTGAAATTTTTTTTAGATTTTATTTATTTATTTTCAGAGAAATGGGAAGGGAGGGAAGCAGAGAGGGAGAGAAACATCAATGTGTGAGAGATACATTTTCACCAGTAGCCTCTCACACACCCCCAAGAGGGCACCTGACTGGCAACCCACGCATGTGCCCTGACTGGGAATTGAACCAGCAACCCTTTGGTTCACATGTTAGCACTTTTGTTTAGGAATATCTTTGATTAATAACCAATAACATTAGTTTTCATTGATGATAATGTTAAAATGTTTCCTCTTATTGTTGTGGTCTTGTTTTTAATTGATTTAATCCATTCATCTGCAATAAAATGTACTCTTTTGGTATGTACAGGCATGTCACCACCACCATCAGAGCACAGAACACTTGCACTGCCCTGCAAACCTCTCCCATGCTGCTCCTTTGCAGTCCAGGCCTCTACACACCAGGGCTCAGCAACAAAATGGAAGAAATAGGGACACATAAACAAGGATGGATCTCTAACACATTAGGCTATGGTAAGGAGGGCTGGTGCAGAAATGCAGGGTGGCTGCAAATGGACACAAGACTTGTGTCTGGGGTGATGGATATATTCCAAAATTGGATGGTGGTGATGGTTGCACAACTCTATAAATACACCAAAAAAATCTGAATTGTATAGCTAAAATTGGTGAGTTTTATGGTATGTAAATTATATTTCCACAAAGCCATTTATAAAATGATTACATAGTGTATGATTACACACACACACACACACACACACACACACACACACACGGTGTCCGTTTAAATAAGTAATAGGAGAGGATCCCTATAGATGAGGTGAACTTTACAGAGCTGGGATAGCAAGGACAGGGCAGCTAGATAGGGGTGCTCCCCACTGTCACTCCTGGAATCCTGGGGGCCCCACCTGACCCCTCCCGCCTTCACCCCAAGACTGGAGCCCACTTACTGTGGCGGTGCCGGAGACGGTCTGCGCACTGGTGTCCGCTGCGCTCTGCTCCGAGTGCGACTGGGCGGGAGGGTACAGGTTTAACGTGTGCTCAGGGACAGTGCTCTGGCCGGTGTACTCTGGCGCCGGGTGGGGGTGAGGGGCTGTGTATTCCGCGGGGATGCCGTTCTGAGGGGGAGCGAACTGAGCCGAAGCATAAGGCTGAGCCATTGTGTCAGGGGCAGCTGCTGCTTCCTGATTACCCTGAAAAATCACAAAGGTGGAGAGAAGGTGAGAACTGTGAGTGGCCGCCCAGCAGAACCTCTCCCCAGGGCCCACCTTGTGGGTGTGTGCACTTGCTGAGGACCTGAGATGGATGCATCCCAGTTAATTGTCACTAGACGCTCTAAGGAAGTAGTAACCATCATTTGTATAACCCCACTGTACAGATGCAGAAATCAAGGCTGGGGAAGGGGAAGTCTCTTTCCTCAGGTCCCAGCCCAACAGCCAAAAACTGTGAGGATCTGTGTTCCACTGGATTGGATTTTTCTGGCAGATCTTCCTTGTTTCATTCGCATTTGGGGACATGTGAGCATGTAGTTGTCTCCAGTGACAGCAGAGCCTTGCTTTGATACTTCAAATGCCAGGAGAGATTAAATTGAACATGCTTGTTCTTGAGTAGAGAGACAATTTATCTAAGCATTTGAATTTAATGAAAGTTTTATGTGTCTTGGCTCACATAATGGGAAGGGGGTCTTTTTAATGACCAGAATATGTGTGTGTGTGTGTGTGTGTGTGTGTGTGTGTGAGGGGGGTGGAGAGGAGAGAGAGAGAGAGAGAAGACAGAGGATGTTCCTAGAGCCAATATGAAGCAGCCGATGAAAATTCAGGGCCTAATTTGGACAAAGATGGCACTCTGTGATATCCTCAATTTAAGTATCTTTGTGAAATGCTGGACTTAACTCAGTCTCATTTGTCAATGCTTCCCCCCACCTCCTGCCTTATTTTTTATAAGCACAGAGTATTATATAACAATTCACCCTTCAGATCTAGGCAAAACATGCAGTGTGATAATAACAGCCAAGTCAAAAGAATTTTTTTAAAAATCCCTGAATTCAAATGCTTCCATTTCAGGAAACATCTATCTCTCTCCACCTCCACCCCCACTGCCACCCCCATAACTTACTACCCTATACACACACACAGCAACAGCAGCGGCAGAAACCACAATCCAGAGGTCTGAATTTTCCATGGTCTCAAGGGATGGGATCGTATGGTCACAAAGAGACAGGAAAGAAAAGAACCTTAGCAATTAAGCACACCAAAGGGCTGCCTTTCCCACAGTCTGTGGTCAATCCATGTGACTTCAGCCCCCATGTAATAGTAGCAGGTCAGAAATGGCAGAATTGCTCACATCTCCTCCATCCTTGTCACCAACATTCGAGAACCTCTTTGGTTAAAGCAACTTGGGTGTAGCCGAAACATTATGACATAGAGGGTAAAAAGAAGTTTATTCTCAGAGCAGCACACAGAGCTGGTTCATTTGTTTAGAGGGGACCTTAATTAGAATGTTAAATATGACACATTGATGAGAACTAAGCTTAGGCTAAGTTTAAAACATTTTACAAGTGAAAACATTCTCATCAGGCCCTGTCCTCCCCCATAGTAATTTCTCCAAATGTCTGTGCCATGGAAGCAGAAATGCACAGCCCTTTCTTTCTTTCTAACATGTTTTCACAGCATTTGGGGCTGAGCAGAGCCTGTCTGTGCTGTGGCTGGATCACTGAATGTGAAAATTTAACCCTGTCCATCCCTAGCAAACCCAAAAACATTTATTGTCATTGCCACTCAGTTTTCACTTTTCTTCAAAAAAAGTATTTGGTTTTCTTTTGCGGGGACATTTCTACTCTCAGTCTAGTGCAGATGTGGCTAAGCCCCACCTCCTATGACCCACAGCTACAGTCACATCATCTAACCTGACTAATCAAAGGGTTCCATTCTCACAGTCATGGGGATTGTGGGTTCATGCACATCTGTCTAAACCAGTTAGTGAGTTAAGCCCTAGTAACTCCAATGAGGCTTAACACTGAGGTTTTGCTGGAGTGCGGGAAGGAAGTTCTCTTTCAAAGGTCATTGGCAGCTGTAAAAATGATGTCAGCCTGGAGTTGCCAGGAACTGCCCCTTGAAGAGGGCCTGCTTAAAGCCAAAGCCAACTCAGAGGCAAATGGAACCCAGAAACTGAGAAACAGACCAACTGAGTCCCAGTGACATCATCTGAAGTCTTGGGTCCAGCTTTACCTGCAGTTAGTAGTGCCATTGTTTGTTTTAGTCACATGAATCAGCAATGTTTTATTTTGTTTAAGCTAATTTTTCTGTTATTTACAACCAGAAGGGTCTTGATTAATAAAAAAAAAAATCCTCTGCTGTTTCTGAGATGACTAACACCCTTTTCTTCTCTAGGGCTGTGCATCTATATTCTTGTATACAAAAATTCCATATGGATGCTACTTCTTAAGAAGCCCCAGAAACTTTAGGACCTTGAGGACATTCTGAAGAGAAATTCATTGTGACAGATTCTACTTCTGCCCAAAAGTCTCTTTCAACCTGCCTTCCCTTCCACCAGGTTCATCTCTGAATTGAAAGAAAGACCTATGAGAACTCCAGGTGTGGTTTCATAGGGGAGCATAACATGGTCGCAGGAGCTATGGTAGACAGAGATAGTCCCTAAAGACAAAGATTTCTCCCCTCTACCTTCAGCAACAAACACTTTCAAGGGAACACTGATCACATGGCCTTTCCTCACTGCAGAGCAATCTTAGGAAGAGTGGTCTAGTCCCACAAGCTCCAGAAAAACTGCAAGGGCTCTCTGCTAGGATCTGAGCTCTCTCGGTTTGGGAGAAAGAAGGGCCTGCCCTCAGGAAGACTATGGTCACTCCATCCTCCTGACACCACCAAGTCTTCCCATTCCTTGCCCCCTCCACTTAGAAAGTCCTCCTCTACTCCCTTGCTTGGCTAGTCTCTACTTGTCTTTCATGTCCCAGATCAAGAGCTCCCTCTTCTAGCAAGCCTTCATCAACACTTAAACCAAACCAGTAGCCTGCTTTCTATACCTCACTGTAGCCTGTGGCCACATCACACATAATTCTAAGTATTTCCATTGCCTGCTTATTTGTGTGTGAGCATCCAGAAGGCAGAAGACGGTCACATTCTCCACTCCATCTCCAGTCTATAGAAACATGGTAGCTGCAAGGTAGGCATTTACAAAAGTTTGCTAAGTGAATGCATGCTTGACTAATGAGCTATGGGCTCAGTAAAGCTTAACTAGGCAACAGGAAATAGTTGGGGATATAGAAGGTAAGGAGTGAGCAAATGACCCATGGGAGATATCTGGCCCATTACTTATTTTTATAAATAAAGTTTTATTGGGACACAGTCACATTCACTGGCTATGATAGTAGAGGGGAATAGTTTGGACAGACATGCTATGGCCCCACAAGCCTAAACTCTTTAACTCTCTGGCCCTTCGCAAAAAAATGTTTTATACTCTCTGTAGTAGAGTATCATTAAGTATGCTAACACCAATTCCAGAGCCATGCTTATAGAAAAAGTGCAGAAAACAAAGCTGACAATAAAGCAGGGAGAGAAAGGGATACATTCTCTCTGAACCATAGAGGGTGGCTCGCCTAGACCTGAAGATCATCCATGTTGAGGATGGTGCAAATGGGTGAATGGGGATCTTTTTCAGAATTCTCTCTTCATCACCAATTTAGTCTCTCTAAATTATAAACATACATGCACACATGCAGGCTTGAAACTCAGCACCAGTAGGCTCAGGACAGGGAAGATCCATGATGGCCTCAGGCTTTTGTGCTCCATGTGAAGGCATCCCCTTCACTTCACCAGTGTGGTCAGAAAACAGAGTGGTGCCTCCCTTCAGGCCCAGCGGATACCAGGCATCGTGCTGGGTGCTTTGCATCAGTTCTTAAACAGAGGTCACTGTTTCTCAGGCAACAGTAGTCATGACTGGAGAGGTTTTTAGTTGTCACAGCTTGGGAGGAGGGTTGCTACTAACGTGTCGAGTGTACAGACCAGGGATGTTGCTAACGCCCTACAATGCACAGGATAGCCCTACCACCAAGGATTATTCAGCCCTAAGTGTTAATTGTGCAGAGGTCTAGAATCCTTGCCTGGCATGCATTCCATCCACACCACTTTATTGTTAATTATACTGCAGCCTACAGCTGGTAAATGATTTTGCAAGGTCAAAGCCACAGAGGGCTCTTTGGGAAGCCAGGAACTGAACCAAAGCTCATGTTATCCTGTGTCCAGGTGCCTCTCATTTGGCAGGATTATCACCTGGTAGGGAAATTCATTCCCATTCTTAAGTAAACAAACCTCTCTCTGTCACATATACACCATGGCCTCAAGACCTGTTTCCACCTGTGGGGAAGTCAGGTGCTGGGGTGTTTAATTCAAATATGCCAGCATTCCATTAGCCAGATTATAGTGTTTACTCTGGTGAGTGTTAGAGCTCTAGCCTGGATAACTTCTGCCCAAGGCCTTGCTTTAGAACAGGGGTGTCAAACTCATTTTCACTGGGGGCCACATCAGCCTCCTGGTTTCCTTCAAAGGACTGGATATAACTTTAGGGCTGTACAAATATAACTACTTCTTAACAGTTAACACTTAAACAGTTGGTGCTGCCACCAGGTAGAAAACAAGGTGGTGCTGGGCCAGATAAAACAAGGTGGAGGGCCGAATTTGGCCCACGGGCCTTGTGTTTGCCACCTGTGCTTTACAAGCTCTGAGGCCATCCTAAGAAAAGCAAGAGCCAGCTGGGGGCAACACTGGAGCCACGGACAAAGCACCAACTTCTGCCAAACCTTGTGGCATTCTGGTTTACCACAAGGAGCCCAGGGCACCGAGCTCTAGGAGCTGTATCTGTGGTCACCAAGGAACCTACAGGTACATTCAGGTCAACAAGGCCCTGGATTGCACTCCCGTTTCTGGAGTTTTCAAACAGATGTTGGTGGGACCCCCCACAGTTCCTTATTAACACCAACAGCAGTTCTCGAGAGACCCTAATTAATATTCCCAACATTTGCACTTTGGGCTAATTACAGCTAATATTTAATTAAGATCATTGTACTTCCCATGGAATTATTTTTCACCTTCAAATGGCTTCAGAGATGCCTTTGCTTCCTCCCTAGTGATGTTCCTGGATTCTTAGCTTAGCTGAAATGTATTTTCTGGAAAAATACATT